TAATATCTATATTTTTTATATTTATAAATTTTAATATATTTATGACATAACTATGACATCATAGTTCTAAACCCGGTCTATGCTCAAAACCGACTTTATTTGTGAAAACCAAAATAATCGGCGAACCAGTTACGTGTCGACATATTCAGTTGGGTTTGAAGAATTGAAGATACCTCCAAAAATATGTTATGGAGAGAGCTTGAATATAAAACCAAGTGCATAACAAAACAAATACGCTAACCATTATGTCATCAACACAATTGTTGACAATGTAATAAGTATATATACTATATATTCAATATTATCTTAATTATATTTCCTAAAAATCAATGTATACAAAATGAAAAATAAATTCTAAGAAATATTTTTTTATAATTTTTATTATAGATTATTTTTGTAATTTAATATCTATATTTTTTATATTTATAAATTTTAATATATTTATGACATAACTATGACATCATAGTTCACTTTCGGTTCATACGCGGTTGAACCAATAACTCATCCGCCTGATCACTTTTCCAATTCATTCACCAGTCTGATTTTCAAAACATTGAGACATTATTGTACACATTCCACTTGAGATTCATGTTTTTTCAGTACACATCTTTTAAAGAAAAAAGAATCTCAATACACATCCATTATAAGAAAAACACTAAACCATACTTCTATTTTTATCTTCAAAAATATTTTTTTTTTCTCTCACCCCATTGTCATTTTCCAAATATTCTAATTTTTTTCAATCCATTATCACCCAATTTTAATTTACATTGTCATCTTCTAAAGGTGCTCATCATTTCCAATCCATTATCAAGCCCTCTCATTACTTTAGATTGAGTTCTTCCTCCTCATTTAAATCTCACCATCATTATTTAGTTGTTATGAAAGATTTGCATGATGAAAGTTCTGATTTTGAGAAGGACATCATCATTTATGAAAAAGATATTAACAAAAATGTGAGTTTGAATATTAAAATTGTAACAACCTGTAAGTTTTTCTTCTTCATCGCTCAAGCGGTCTTACAGATCATCCAATACTTATGCAGGTATGAACTTTTGGGAGTTCACGTTTTGTGCTCAAGCAAAAGTTTCATTGCTTGAGCGGTCTTATGTCTCTGACGCTTGAGCACAAGTTTCATCGTTCAAGCAGTCTGTTCGGGATTAGCACTTTTAAAAATTCACTTTTTGATCAAACCTAGATCATTTCTCTCTCTCTCTCTCTCTCTCTCTCTCTCTCTATTTTCAAAAGTCCCATGCTTTTAATCTTGGATTTCATTTCCTTATACTTAAAATCTCACTCTAGTTCCATATACCAAAATGTAGAGCACAGAGAGAGCTTTCAAGTAATCTGAGCGGATTGTGTTTTTTTCGAAGTTGGATTTTCGAGCTTTCTCCTCTTCTTGCTAGAGGTAGGGATTTCTTTACCCCTCTTCAGTACTACGTCTATAGAGCAATGAAGGCTTTGATATGTTGTTGGCATAATAAATTGGAAAGGGGTAAAGTTGAATAATTTTTATGTTTTGTTTAATATGAATTGTGTAAATGTGTTAATTGCTAAAAAAGAGAGTTAACCATGATATTTGGATTGTTTTGGACTAATTATGTTGAGTTGAGTTGAGTTAGGTTATGATTTTGATATCTATGGATTTGTTTTTGTGAAATGAAGGGAATGAATTTTTGGATAAAGATTGGAGTTTGGAAAATAAAGAAATTGATTTTGGAAAGAAAATGAAATCAAAACTTTTTGTAAATTAAGAATGAACATGAAAAGAGGATTATTGTATTACGTGTAATAAATATATATGTTTTGTCTTTGGTTATCAGTGGAGGATGACACTGTTGTATTGAATAGATTATGTGTATGAATTATATTTGGGTTATATATGCTTTTTACATGTTGTGATGGTTGGTAACATATACTGCGTAAGAATGAGAGGTACCATTAACTTCCAGCTAGCGTTGGAGAATTGGTTGCCCTTAGAATGAGAGATACCAATACCTTTCAACTAGCGCCTAAAGACTTGGTAGAGGTACCATTATCTTCCAGCTAGTGTCTAGTAAATTAGTAGAGGTACCATTACCTTCTAGCTTGTGTCTGGTAAATTTGTGTTTCGTTGTGGAAATGTGTATCTTTGGCTTATCGTACTTGAGGCAGGTAAAGCATGGGTTAGGGTTTCTGTGTCGAACCGGTTTATCTGCGTATATTACATGTGGTATCGGTTTGGTTGATAAGGTTGGGTTGTCTCATATGATTTTGGAGTAGTCTTCGCATGTATGTTATTTTCTTTTCATGTTGAAGGTATTGTATGTACATTTGTGTGTCGAACGAGTTGTAGAAATGTTTCATTACTGTTGGATTAGGGCTTGGAAACGTGGTTCATGTATTAATAATTGGTGTATGTGATGGGTTGGCAGTGTAAGGAATGACACGTAATTGGATTTTGTGAACATGTTACCGATAACGTGTTGTTAATATATAATTTTACTTTTTTTATGTTTTTATTTTTATGAAATTGGTAATACAAGAGAAGGAAGAGAGAACGTTACATATAGTGGAACAAATTGAACAATTTTTGGGAAAAGTTTATATATGTAAGTATACTTTGATTATAAACATCACATCATTTATATTGTATGATATGAAGTATCTATGATCATAGCTATCTATATATTGTTATTGTTTAGGATCATGTTGGGATCCCTACTAGATTTTATGTTCATTCCACGTTGCTGATCCTTTTTCAAGTTATTTCGAAAAGTGTTTCAAGATTGAGGATATTCCTTGTGTGTTGACCACGGGGCATTTTACTTGTTGACGGAACGCAAATGTTGGAAAAGGATTAAACCCTTCCTCTTATATGTAATGATGTAAGCCTGCTGGCGATCTATTTAATTGTAACTCATGTAGCATTATGTGTTTGAATGAGAGAATATTTATTTATTTATCCTTGATAATGAATAGAATTTCCGCATGTTGTCTCTGGAATTGAATTATAATAATTGATTAGGCAATGGTATCTAAGTAATTAAAAATGGAATGTTACAAAAATCATCCTTTTGTTTTCCAACATCATTTGGTAAACCAGGATCGAAAAATTACTAAGTTTTCGACAATCATCCAAATTAAATTTTCTTTTTTGGAAATGAAGTTTTTGAGAATTATTTTTATTTTTATTTTTATTTTCGTCTAACCAAGTTATGAACAAAGTTTTTTTTTCCTGAAGAAAAAACATTTTTTGACTATCAAGTTTCAAACATTTTTTTTTTTTTTTTCTGAAGAAAAAACATTTTTTTGACTATCAAGTTTCGAACAAATTTTTTTTTCCTAATGCTGCAGTTTCGAACTCTTTCTATAATTTTGATTCTAAATTTTCGAACCCACATCTTATTATTGTTTTGGACATTGCCAACCTGTTTTTATTTATTTATTTATTTTTCCTTTTATTTTTAGATTTTCTATTGTTTGAGTCTTATCTAATGAAAATGGTGAATCAACTTTCTTCAATGCGTACTGAGGCGAACTATTGAGGGACCAGAGGTGGCCCCGCCCTCCCAAGGTATGCATATTTTTTATATAGAATAAATTACACTGATCTCCTATAAAATTTGAAAAAAAAAAAATTAATTCTACAGATTTGGCTTGATTACATTAGACTCCCTTAAGGTTTTAATTCACCTAACATTCAGCCTATTTATCATCAATAATTTATTAGTCATATGGATTAAAAAAATAATATTATCATATCTTTTATATTGGACCTTGTTTATTTTATATCTTTACAATATCAGCATTAGTTTTGACCATTTTAGCTTTATTAAAAAAATGGTTGGTGTAACAACGTCAAAATATGAGGCTTGTTGTGTTACCTCCAATTCTCATAGGAGATCAATATAATTTCTTTTCTATTTATAAGATTACGTCAACTAACAAAATAATTTAAAAGGTAGCTGAATTGATAAATACCGAGTTCTAATTTATATCTCAAAATTTTAGAAAAGAATGAGAAATGACTTACTAGATTTATTTAATTTTTGTTTTTATGAAATATTATTTTCAAGCAATCATGTAACAAATTGTCTTTAATTAGTCATTTACCATTTTTTTTTTCACATACCTCGCTCCGATCAATATAATTACTTTTCTATATATTAGATTATGTCAACTAACAAAATAATTTAAAAGGTAGTCTAATTGATATATACTGAGTTCTAATTTATATCTCAAAATTTTAGAAAAGAATAAAAAATAACTTACTAGATTTATATTAATTTTTGTTTTATAAAATATTATTTTCACAACACTCAAGTAATAAATTGTCTTTAATTAGTCATTTACCATTTTTTTTTTTGGCACATACCTAGGCCCCTCTAATTAAAATTTCTGATTCACTCCTAGGTCTGTGTAACATATATTTGGGTGTGTTTGAATAGTGTGTGTACACTTTTTACTTGTTAGGATATAATTAGAATAAAAGTGTATGGAGTGAATGTATATTATATATTTATTATTTTTAAAGTGTGTGAACTGAGAATGAGAAAGATATGCACAAAGTTGAAATTGCGTGCAAATAGAAACCCCCACTTGGAGTGCCTCTGCTAGATGTATCTATTTTTTTTTTTTGTTCTTTCTTGGGGGATGGATTATTAGGATATTTAAAGACTGTTTGGTATATTTTATCTGAATAATTTATAATTTTTTTATTATCTTGTAAGCTTGCGTTTTTTGACTATTTGAGCCTGAGCTCAAAAGCTTAGTTTGAGAAAGACTTTTTGACTTTTTGACTTTTTGACTTTTTTTGTAAAAGAAGAGTGTAATGATTATAGGTTGGATGTGATATTTTGTCTGTTATGACTCAATAGCTTATTCTGTCTTTTGTAACTCAAAGAGCCAAAAGAGCCCAAATAAACTCTTCTCAAACGACACCTAAATAATGTTTTTAATTTTTACTTTTACATTATCATCTTTCAATTTACAATGCACTTTAGGCTAGAGATTTATCGTTTCATAATGCAAAAATACAATATCATAATCAGTATTAGAATAAATCATAACTAACATATCAGGTCATACCCAAGCTATAATTAATCGCTGCAGGTAATTGTGCCACTGTCATTCATTGAAAGGATTCCAACCCTTGGCACCAAAGACCACATACCAATCATCAACCACCATAACAAATCACTATCCTCCTTGCTTTGTGATTATCCATAATAACTGAACTCTTCATTTTCCAAAAGAATAACCTAGAATTAAAAATTAAAAAAAAAAAAATACTACAAAAGAATAATTAGTACGAAAAAAATGGAAAAAGATAATAATGACATTAATAAGTGTATCCAAAATCATCTCGAATCCACTACTGGTGATCCGGTCGGTTGATTCTAAGCTTTGCCGGTTTCGAGAAGATTTTCTTGATACATAGCAATGTTGTAATGACAATCATCAATAAGAGCACGGTTGTTGAGTCAAGTCCAACCATTGACTGGTGTGGTGGTGCTTAAACAGATATCAGAAGATATCAAGGATTTCCAAGATGAACCCATTGCAGAGTGGGCAATTACCCCTCTGAACCCAAAGCTCCCTAGAACACAACCTGCAAAATGTGTGCCCGCAAGGTATGAAAGCCGACCCTTTGTCCCTCACCATACACACACAGCAGTTATTGTACTCTACTACAGTACTGCCAATGCATTCATCTTCTTCTTCCTCCTCCTCCTCATTATCATCTTCCATCACGAAATTAGACCCATCCACACCCATTTGTCTATCGGTCTCCGCCAACAGCGCCATCAATGACATCCTCACCGGCACCTCCCCTCCCTCCTCGATCCCTTCCGCCGGCAATTCCTCTGTCTCTCCCTCCTCCTCCTCTTCTTCTTCTCCTCGTTGGTCTGGCACGACTGTTTCAACAGAACCGTTTTCGATTGAATTGAACTCACCGTTCATTATCGAATTCAATTGGGCTAAACGATTCGATGATGACGATGACAGTTGGGAAGAAGTTGGATTGTTGGAGGAGTTGAATCGAATCGAATTTGGGCGATAAATCATTGAGTTGGTGTTGGTGTTGTGAAGTGGAATGTCGGAGGGCGGGGTGTGTAAGGTGGAGGTCCAGGCAGCGGCGGGGCGACGGAGACGAATCTTGTCTTTGAAAGCCTTCCACGTCTTCTTGCTTTCCTTGCTGCAGTTGGGATCGTCTCTGATAATATCTAGCAGAGTCCGGTTCACCTGAACCGGCATCGAAGGTCTCTTCTCGCTCGCCAGCACTGCGCTTAATGTTAGACCGGGCAACGACTTACGTCCCTCGTCTTGTTTGATTCTCAGAAAGTCTCCAAGGTTCGGCGACTCCACCACCGACTGCCGTCTCCGACCACCACCACCACCACTAATTTCCATTCGGTACGAATCAATCACTAACTCCAACACAAATTCAATAAAATAATTAATAATAATAAAAAATACACAATTTGTCAGGACTATATAATGGTGGGAAACGGTGGTAAACACTCTATGTCCCCGTTTGTTTGGGGAAATAGAATAGAGGGGATTGATAGTGAGGGGATTAATAGTGAAGGGATTATTAATGAGGGGATTGATAGTGAGTAGATTAGTAGTGAGGGGATTGATAGTGAGGGAATTAATAGTGAGAAATTGTTAAATTATTTTTATATAAAATAATAAAACAAATAAAAAAATATAAAAAATTAAAAATTATATTTTAAAAAAAATTTCCAATATATAAAAAATAAAAAAAATAAAAAAATTTCTAATCCCCTCACTATTTTTCTAATACCATCTCTACCTCCTCACTATGAATCCCCTCCCCAAGGGTATTAGTAATACCAAGGTATTAGTAATACCCTCCCTATCTCTCAAAACAAACAAGGTATTAGTAATACCAAGGTATTAGTTAGTCCCAAGGTATTAATAGTCCCAAGGCTATCTCTCAAAACAAACACCCCATATACTAATCCCAAGGTACTAGTAATCCTAATCCCCTTGCTATAACCCAAAACAAACGGGGCCTAAGAGCATCCATACAAAACTCCTCAATTTTTTAGTTAAATTAAAGTTATTTTATTATTTTTGCTAGTCATCTTTTAGTATTTACTGTATCAAACTCTTTATTCTAACTTATTCTTATTAAATATTATTTTCTTATTGTGTTTGTTAGTCTTTTTTTTTTTTATTAAATTGATAAGTTACCAACCAAATAATTCTTAAAAAAAGCAAAAAAAAAAAAAAAAATTATCGTTGACCAGTTGACCGACCGGACGTCTGGCAGGACTTTTAGGCAGACATCCGGTAACACACAAGTGTGTTTTTTTTTTTAAAATTATTTTATTTTATATGATGATTGAGTCAGTGAGGATTGGATACCTTTCTGTGTGCGTGGGGCAGTTGAGCTGAGTAGAGCAAATTGAATCAGAGGAGCAGATCTGGAACTTGGCAAAGGCTTTGAATTGATGATCGTGTTTGTTTGTTAGCTGTATGAAAAAAGTTAATGGCCCATCACAACAATGAAGATAATATGCGAGAGTGGAAAGAGAGATCACAGAGACGCACAAAGAGGCTCTCTATATGCGGTCTTAAAACGGCCATTGTCGATCTTTGTTTTGTCTCTTCTTCTCTTTCTACTTTCTCTTTTCTCTTCTCTTTTCTCTCTCCTCTGTAATGTTCTTGGCCCCTTCTCGCTCTATTATTGCCCTGTTGGCATGTTGGGTGTGAGCTTTATTATTGTTATTATTATTATTAAAATTTATAAAAAATAAAATAAATTAAAATAATTAATAAAATAAAATATCACATTAAATTCATAATCATTTTATTTTTTCTCTCATAAATATCACATTTAATTATAAAAAAAATCAATCATTTTTTCAAATTCAAAAATTTTAACTTATTAAAAGAGTTTAAAACTAAAATAGTCTACTAAAATAATCAACTTCTCAAACGAGGCCTATGTCTCCCATTCTAAGTTGCGTTTTTATATTTTTTTTTCCCCATGATAGGGTAAAGCGACAATGTTCAAGGAATACAAGTGAGGGGAGGAGGGGGCAATCTACTACATTTATAATTACACATGTAATCTACTATTCAAATTTCTCATTTCATTGATAACTCGTGGATGAACATTACAAAGCCATAACAAGATAAAACGTTTGGTCATACATCCAAACAAGTTCATTAATTATCATCATCATCTGACATCTCAATGTCAGATTGATACATAGCATCTATGCTCCAAATTAAATATTTTTACGCATCATCCATTAAACCTATCTTTAGCACACTTATTGGTGGTCTTCTAAAGTTCGGACTTTTGCAAACATTGGGTCATGCCATTAATTTCGTCGCGAATACGATGCAATGCCCTTTGCAATAATTGTTGAGTCTCAATTGGCATATGAATGACTAACCGTCAAGGAAATTTAATATTAACTTCACGATATAGCTCAACGAGAATGCTTGCTCGAGTTAAGCGAAATTTCCCTCAGCTCTCATAGTATTAATGGTGGCGTGTGAGTAATGCAAATTTGGATTTAATGGGTATTCAAATTCATCTCCATTTACAACCCAATGGCGACCCATTGCTGAATATAGATCAACTACTGTATATCTCATGATGATATCTCTCGATTTTTCTATAAATGTTTTGGTCTGGTATGATGTGATATCTATACCATACATATGAACAATAGTTGTAATATGCTCAACACATAAAATGGAGATGGACGTCATTACTCGTATTCTGTCAGCCCACATGTCAGCAATGACTTATTATAAGCAAGAAGGTTCGCATGGTAGCTGTATGTCTAAAATTATTGCGAGAGACTTGTCACGTCAACCTGTATGACGTGAAAAATCGTGCATCGACTTTATAGGAGTTGTTACTTTGACTTTTACAGACTAGTCAATTCATATCAGAGGGTTTTAAGCAGAGTTCAAATCCACTGCTCAAACTTTTGAAAATAACTAAGCTTTTATCAAAATCTACTAAGAGATTTGACAAAATTGGTCACATGGCCTTTCCTCACTTAATGAATTTTTTTTTTAGAAAACAATTTTAGCATCTAACAAAATGGGGGCAAACCATTGAATATTACATGTCACCGATAATACATGCATTTATATTGGTGGTTACTAATTCATTTAAAATTATGTGCATATTACTAATATTAGATTAACTGCAATAATAAGACAAACAAACTAGTGTCGATAGATGTGAGGGAACAATCGTACATCAACTCACCAAAGTATTCACAATCCACTAGTCAAACTTTTTCGAAGAACTAAGCAGCTTAAGACAGTTCAAAAAAAAAAAAAAAGAAATAAAATAAAATAAGCAGTTGAAGAGATTTGCTACATTTGCCCATATCAATGTCATCCTTAATCAACATTGCAACACCTTAATTGAAGTCATGTGTGAAGTATCATATTAGTGATTACTGAGTCATTGAATATTACCTGAACTCTAATTAATGAGGTGAAGAAACTAGTGTCTGATTTATCAAAAAAATAAACTAGTGTTGAACTGATCAGATTCTCGCTGGACATTTTCTCTTATCATGACCTTTCTGCAAACACAAACTACAATGGTATATTCTACTTTGTCTAGAGGTATCCATTTCGTTATGGATGCGGCTATGTTGAAAATGACCTGTTTTAAGTTGATGTTGTCATTATGGAATAGCAACCAAAGTTGGGAAATCACTGTTAGGCCAATATTGCTCGTGCGACATTGTCTTAAACTTATGCACAAAGATATACGTGTGGACTTCCAACCTATACTCTAGTGCAACCAAAGGAAAAGGGTCCTCGCCTAAGTCTGTTGTGACAGCAAGCATGTGGGAACATGGCAAGTGAAATAATGTGTACTTCCCACACAAACAATGTGGTGGCCAAAGGCTAACTATTTGACAAGCACCACTTATAGCGATCCCGGGTATCCCTTTACTGTTCTGTTGTATTCTGGGCTCGGTTCCGTGAAGTTGGTAGTGATATCTATCTTGTTGTCGTCCTTTAATTCCACTTGATTGAGTTTTAGGATGTTTTGGGGAGAGTTGTTACAGGTGGGTTAAGCCTTGATCCCTATCCTTGTTGCCCAGGTTTTTGGTGTTACGCTCGAGCGGGTCATTCTGCGCTCGAGCGGAGTTTGGTTTCTAGTTTAGCGCTCGAGCGGGTGTTCTGGCGCTCGAGCAGGGATTGCACACTTCCAGTATTTCGGGTTTCTGCAAAACTTCTGCAGATGTGATTTCTGCGCTCGAGCGGGTCTGTTGGCGCTCGAGCGGGTAGTACTTTCTGGGTGTGAGTTCTGGGAGGTGGAAATCTGCGCTCGAGCGGACTGGTTTTCGCGCTCGAGCGGATGTACTTTATGCTTGTGTCTTGGCGCTCGAGCGGGCATTATTGCGCTCGAGCGTGTCCATTGGCGCTCGAGCGTTGTGTTCTCCGCTCGAGCGGGTCATACGTATATGAGTTATCCACTGGGTGATTTTAAATCACTTTTTGCTTTTCTTTCTCTCTCCTACTTTTTCTAAAAACCATTTTTGAGAGCCTCTCTCTCTAGATACTCCCTTCTCTCTAGGGTTTGATCTAGTTAGAGTGCCCTTCTTCTCTTCGGCCTTTGTAAAAGTTGTGTTGATCGTCGAGGGCGTCGTTTTAATCTGAAAATCTCGGTCTTTGGAGCACTTTGGTTTTGGTCTCTTCTGCATCCGAGCTCTAACTTCGAGGTAGGGATAACCTACTCCTTACTATGAGCTTTGTCTTTAAATTTTAGCATTTTGAGATGTTGGGGAAGGTTTGGTAATTTTGTGAAAGTTTGGGGCCTTTGCGTAAATTTTACAAAAGTTGGGGTTTTCATTTATATAAGACCTAAATGCATCTTTGGCATGGGAAAGTGGAATTAATGTTGAAACATTAATGAAAATGGAACCTTAGGGTTGTAATGTGGATTATGAAAAATGACCTAATTACATTGTTTGATTAGTTGGGATGATTAATTGTGAGAAATGAAGTGAAATTGTTGAGATTGGAAATGCATGGGGTTTAAGGGTGAAGTTGGATTGTTTATCGCTCACCTAATTGAAATGTCGATTATATATCCATTGTTGCTTTTATTTTCTGTATAGAAATAACTGCTTTGGGCTATCGGTGGAGGATAGTCGTGATTGTTGTAGACAATGCATGATGATTAGGCAAACTGAAACTAATCATCGGAATAAGTCATTGAGATTGACGATTGAAAGAATACATTAAATTTATGTATTGTGTGATGATGTGTATAATTGTTGTTTATATGCATTGTGTTGTGTTGGAGGAGATAGGGGATGTACTCCACGGTTTAGGGGAAGATAGGGGATGGACCTCTAAACCGGATGTGTTGGGAGGAGATAGGGGATGGACTCCATAGATAGAGCTCATATGCTTATCTATTAATGTGTTGATAGAGCTCATATGCTTGTCATTGGAAGTGTGATAGTGCTCATATGCATATCTGTGGAAGTGATGATATAGCTTGTATGCTTATCTGTTGTTGTGTGATATGGCTAGTATGCTTATCTAATATGAAATGGGAAGTGTTTGATATGAGTTGTTTGGCCAGGTTCTGAGCCACGGATGTAATTTGAGAATTGAAAAGGGATTGGAAAATGAGTTGTAATATGAACTTGTATATCATGAAAATGTAATATGTGATAAGGGAAGGTATCAGTGTTGACCATCTATCAATTGTTAATCTTTTAATCATTGTTCATATTTGGTCTAGTGTATTTCTACTGGGCTGTGGCTCACCCTATATGGGAATATCATTTTCAGGTACAGGTAGCATGCCACCTCCAAGGACGTAGCTTGGGAGGCTAGAAGCAGACATACTTTTGTCGTTTTGTTTTGATGTATTACATGTAAATTCAAGCCAAGGGCTTAATGTGTAAATGAGTTAGTACTCTTTCTTTTGTAACCAAGTGTTAACTTGGAAAGCTGTAAGCCTTTAGGGCATTTGCTTTTGTCGTTAACATGTAATACTTTTGTAATGAAATTCTGATAAATGAAAGAATGTGGAACTTTTACATATCAATGCATGTCTTTATTAATGGGTTTAATGTTGTTATTTTAAGGGCGTTACACCACTCCCCATCCCATGCGGTGTTGTCCTCACCTCATATTCCCCTGTTCCCCTGCCAAAAAAATGTACGTAGGTGGGTTAATATGAAGGGTATGTTTAAATATACCCTAATATCAATGACCGACCGCTATTACATTGATAATGTGTTGTGAGATTGGTACATATAGTGAAAATCACCTATTTATTGGTATCAACATATAGACATTCGCTTTAGCTTGGTGCTCATTGATCCATTGTTGAACATTAATCATGTACAACTTACCCTAATTACTCGCATTTTCAACAATGGTCTTGCCTTCGTCAAAATATTTGACGAGCCGATAAAAAGTGATCTTAATAGATGCTGTAATCGGGACACTATGTGCGCCTTTTGGTACACCATTGAAGCCCTCTATATGGTTTGTCGTCAATATGCGCCAACAACAACCGCCATCATGGCACAAAGTCCAATGAATAAGGTTCATCTAACTAAACCAACGTTCAACATTTTTTTCTAACTTGTAGATATCCTCCATAATCTTGTTAAACTTTCGCACTTGGCGTGTAGAACCAACTCTCCACACATGATCCTTGCCTAGTGTATT